CCCCCCCTTATGGCGGCCCTGCAAAGGAAAGTGAAGGTAACCTCAGTAATAACAGAGATTGTTTAATCTGACTGCAGATGTATTTCTAAACTTCAGTTGGGCTTTGTAAAAGAACTTGATGTATTGTCTGAGCTGTTTTGAAGGAGGTACATAATCTGTAACTTACATTTGCCTGTGTAGCATCTTTCACTACATACACTGCTGTATAGTCTTGGATCTCCCCTATCTTCACCCGCTACTCTTTTGCTCATTGTTGCTGCTCCATTCTCTGAGCAATCAGGAAATCCCCATAGACTTCTATAGGGCTTCAATTGAAAAGATGAAGAGCATGGTCATGGTCTGGTTGGGTGAAGAGCAGGAAGAGCTGAGTTTTTAAAACAGTGTATTGAGCAAAGATCCCCACTGAGGTCAGTGTAGACATCACCCTTCAAATCTGCAATGGGATGCTTCTGAATCCTGAATCAGGTTTAATGTTCCTCATTCCTGTTGCTCACAAATTAATTATCTTAATTCAACTTTTTTGAGTTTCAAAATGTTCTTTTGTAAAACTTCATAAGCTCTCCTTCTGTCCGAACACAGCCCGACCTCACCTCTCCATACCTAGCAACAGTGTCCACAGAAATACAGAGAACACCCTGACCTGTACGGTCTCTGGATTTTTGCCGAGTGATATTGTTGTAACGTGGTATAAAGATGGAGAAGTTCTGAAGGATCCGCTCATGGGAAAGCCACACAAAAATGACAATGGAACCTACCAAGTGAACAGCACTGTGACAATAACACCGAGCGATGATGACCAGAACAAAACTTTCTTCCCCCCCCCCCCCACCATCTTAAATCTTTACTTACTGTATTATTGTCTTTTATTTTGTCTAGAGTCATCATCATATTCCATCATTATCTGTATTGTCGTTCCGGCTGTGGTGATAATTGCAGCTGTAATCATTGGAATCATTTTGTGGAAGCTAAAATGCCGGAGGAAAGGTAACATACAAACATTAAAGTTCTATAAATAAAATAATCATTAAACTGAAATAGAACACTAGTGTGAATTTCAGTATAAAAGTTGTTTTCCATATGTGTTGTAGATTTAGCCAATCCTTTCTTTAACATCTTCATTGTGCTGTATAATGTATTATTGCTGGGATTTGTAGTCCTCTATAGCCGGTGCCATTCTGCATTCATTGCTGTATAATTTTACACTTTTCATTTCACTATATTGCACACCACACTTCCACCGCTCCAAGCTTGCTCCTGTGATGGACTACAATCTCAATACAAACTAGTAGTCCACAACTGGAGCCATTTTTTTTAACCGATTAATCGAACGTAATAATCAGCTACCTAATCGATTTTGAAAATAATCGTTATTCCCATTTTATTTCCCCCACTAGGTTGCGCAGCTTCTCAAAGTTGGCCCTTCTAAAGTTTAGGGTTCTAGTCCTTCCAGTACACTTCCCTTTTCTGTGTTCAATATTAAACGTAATCACATTGTGATCACTATTACTCAATGACTCCCCAATTACAATATCCTCGATTAACTCTGCATTATTAGTGACAATTAGATCTAAGATGGCATTTTTTCTGGTCGGAGTCTCCACCATCTGGTCCATGAACTTGTCTCGCAACATGTTCAGAAATCGCCCCGCCTTTGCTGAACCCGAAGTTCCATTGGCCCAATTGATGTCCGGGTAATTGAAGTCACCCATCACAACTATATTGCTCTCTCTCCCAGCTATTCCTATCTAGGAGTGAAGATTGACCAGTCTGGAATGCACTGTTTATGGTGTGAACTGGCCCTAAGCCCTCATTCACATGAGAATCGGCTGGCACGTACAGATGCGTGCTGCATGCTGCATGCACGGCCGTATCGGGCAGGTCCCAGGAAGGACAGGTGCTGTGTGTGATTAATACGCATCCCCCGTCCTTCTCTATGGGAGTACGTGGCCATACGCCCCCCTACGCTCACCTCAAGTGCAGGTCCGTGTGGGTGTCCCGGCTTGGACGCAGACAGGATCCATCCTGTCAGCGTATGAGTACGCTCACCAGCACACACGTGGAGTGCTGGAGTGCTTCTTATTCTGAAAGGAATGAAGTTGACCTGACACTTTCATGTAACTTCCAGGAGGCACAACTACATTGGTACACATGGTATACGGAGGAACTTATGGTTGACTCAATGACTGCAGCGTGCCATGGACATTAGACATGTAACCAGTGATGTATTGTGGTTTTGTGCTGCCCATAGGCAAGACTAATCTTGGGCTCCCCCAAATCTAAATTTCCTCAACCACTTCAGATGTTTAAGACATTTTGCGTAACCTGTCAGTCGCTGGATACAGCACGTATTAGTACGAGGGTATTTTCAGGAGTACAAGTACTCATGCCAATGCCCAGTATCGGCACTGATATAGATGCCGATACCGGTAATGGAGGCTCTGTTTCACTGGTTTGGAGGCAGCGTTTTTTGCCAGCCCCCCTGGATAGTGCCACTTAAGGCAAATGCCTTGTTTGCCTTGGGGCAGATACACCCCTGCATGTCACCCGGCAAAGAAATTGTTTTGTTTTGTTTCAGATCGATTTGGATTTTTATTTCTTTCTTCGAGTTTCAAATTCGATTCGGTTAGTTATTCGGATTCTTCGTCTGTCCGAATTTTCATTTCGGAACGATCCACAACAGGAAGTCACATGACCGTGCCTGTAATGCCACCCCCAACAGCCCAAGAAAAAAATCTGATTGGCCAGAGAATAGTCACATGTCCGATTGAGTTTCCTTTTGAACAAAATTCGGATGGATCCAAATATTCAAATTTGTTTGTATTCAGACTCACGCTCACATTCAGAAATTCAGATGACACAAAATGTACATGTCTATTACAGTAATATGAACCTCCGGTGATGAATCAGGTGATTGTTGTGTAGAATAAAACCAGAGATTGATCATTCTTCATATGAGACGTGTTGTGTGGAGGTCGGACATTGATGTACATTGTGCTGTGTAGGAGACGTCCGGCAACCACGAGATTCTACTCATAATACAAAAACCCAACAACTGGAACGGAATCATTCACAGATGACCAGCACCAAACCTGCGGTACCCCCAAAACCTTCAGACACAACCTTATTCAGTCCAGGCAAGTATACATTGTAGTCATTGGCACAGCATACAGAGTGGGTAGCAGTGAGTGTATGTTGTACAACGCATAGTGCAGATATGGGGAATATATCATGTACAGCACAGTGTACAGAGTGGGGCTGTGTCATGGATGTAATGTATAGAACAGTGTACAGAGTGGGGAGGTGTGAAGTATAGAATGTACAGCACAGTGTACAGAGTGGGGAGCCTGTATTGTAGAAGGTAACAGTGTAACTCTGGAATCTTTTTCTACTTTTGGATTTTCTGCCTCCCGCTATAAACAAGGAAACATTACTACGTGATGATCATTTTGATTTTTTTCCGATACAGGAGGAGGACACTCTTATGAGGAACCTGAAAATCAGGATAACGAAAATAAAGAATTAATCTCCGGTGATGAATCAGGTGATTGTTGTGCAGAATAAAACCAGAGATTGATCATTCTTCATATGAGATGTATTCCCTGATGGCAAAGGAAGTCGGCGCTGTCGAAAGCAAGGCTGCGGCGGTGGAGGGAGCAGAGCCGCATTATCCGATACTTCTTCTATAGCGCCGGTTACTGTGACAAGCGCAGTGATACCAGATAACTTTGGGTTGTTGTACATTTTGTTGCACATTAAAAAACTAAAAGACGTCCCCTGAAAATAAGACCTAGTGTGTTTTTTTGGGGGCAAAAAAATATAAGACAGTGTCTTATTTTCGGGGAAACACGGTACAGGAGTTATTACTACAAGGGCAATGATGGGAATGGCTATCGTGTGTGGACCTGCTGAAGTGTGTATATATGTAGGAATATATACATATATGTACATGTACATATGCATATGCATACACATATGCACATAGTGTCTGCATACATCATGCACATTATAAAAAGAAAAAGAGAATCGACTATCACCCAAAGTGTAAATATAAACAGATAATGAATATAGTGGGGCAGCTCCGCTGCCCATAGCTGTTCCACGGATTTGTTTAAAAAGCTGTTTTTCAAATAAAAACATGTTATTTTCCAGTATAAATTCAAGACAAAGAAGAATAAAGGAAGATGGAATATCATGTGTGTCATCACATGCCAAGAAGTGTTCGACAGCTGAGAGACCAGCTTTGTTGGGTATGCATGTATATAAAGATGAAATGTCCATAGTCACAAGTTTCCAACCATGGTCGACTTGTTCAAAACTCTGTAGTTTCTGTAAAAAATCACCAGTGTCTTTGATGTATGCTGGTAGTAACGAGAGGCTGAAGATAATAATCCACGAACTGAGCCAAAGGTTGTGTGATTGAGCCTGAGCCTGACACAATAGGACGGAATACTAAAGGATCAACGCCTTTGTGTATTTTAGGTAACCCGTATACAACAGGTATGCGTGCATGCTCATTGTATAAGAAGTTGGCCGTGGAATCACTAAGCCACCCGTTGGTTTTACCAATATCAATGATAGATAGTAATTCTCACTGCACATTACGCAGATTGTCACGCGTGGACATTACATAACTGTTGTCATCTGATAGTAATGATGTCATACCACGTCGGTAGTCTGCATAGTCCATTATAACCACAGCACCACCCTTATCGGCTGGCTTAATGATAATGTTGGTGTCATCCTTCAAGGATGACAGTGCGTCGAGGTCCTGCCTGGTCATGTTGGTATATGTTCTAGACTTATGATTAGCATGCAGTTCATCATGTTTAATGGTACGTGTAAATGTTTCAATTGATTGAAACTGTCCTGGTGGGATGAAACTGCTTTTTAATCTAAAGGGGGGACCAGAACGCATAGTGGATGGTTGTGCGGCAAAGTGTTGTTTCAGTTTAAGCGATCTCTCATATTTAAACATCTCAACTTCAAAGTCAAATACGTTAAATCGATTTGTAGGACAGAAGGAAAGCCCCTTTGATAGGAGACGACACTCACCCTCCGTGACTTGGCGTGAGGAGAGGTTGATCACCGGACTCTTCGTGGTGGTCGTCCCTTGTAGTTGGTGGACCGGGTTTCGATGTGCCTTGTTCTTACGTCCCCTCCGGGATCGCCTGCGTCCTGGGCCTGGGCTAAAGGGAACTTTGCTCTGCTGTTCACTGTAGTAGTGCCACTTGGTTGGCCGGCGTCACTGTCAGTGGAGGGGTTTTCTGTCGGTCTTTCACTGCTAGATGATGTGGCTCCTTGCTTGTTGTGCCATGCGGGTCTCCTTCTGCTGAAATTTCGTGGGCGTCCACGAATGCTACCAGATAGCCACTGGTATACTCGATTATCTTGATAATCAAGATTTACCTGTCGTAACTTGTCACGTTTTGCTTGTCGTTGTCTGTTGGTGTAGATTTTAATATCTTCTTCAATTTTGTTCAAATCTCTATTCAGAGATTCTTTGTCAGTGTATTTCTCTTGAGTTGTTGCTTCAAAAGCTGTTAGTTCTCTATTCACTTGGCAGAGCTGAATCTTTACCTCTTCGATCACCAGTAGCATGAAGTTTAATGAATTCTGTGTGGCGACCTCACACCAGCGCTCACAGAATTCACGTTTATTTCTTCCAATTGTTGGCTGATTGGTATTCTGAAGCCTCTTGGTATTTGTCTCAATCGGAAGTACTCTGATAATGTCTTACCATGCAATTCAAGATCGATCTTCTTTTTCTTTAGGCGTTTGATCTCTCTGCATAGGTCTATAGGTGTATCGGATCCAAACGCATCAGCGGTATCCGAGGGAAAAAGAATCGCTTCAACGTCATCAGGGGTATAAGAAAGTCCACTTCTATATTGCGTCAGTGGACCAAATTCATTCTCATGATCCATGGGTAACACACATAGTAAAGCAATGGCCTGTGGGCCTGAGGGTATGAAAACTAACATCTGCACAATTCTTTCTATGTTTTTTTATGTAATGTCCACGCATGACCACGCATGACCACGCATGAATTGTGCAGATGTTAGTTTTCATACCCTCAGGCCCACAGGCCATTGCTTTACTATTTGTGTCTGTGGGATTTAGAGTCCGATGCGCTGAATTGGGGAGGGGGGGCGGGGGCTAGGCGCACGCCGCTTCCGGGTTAGGTTACCCAGATATTATGGGGCCTGCAAGAAGTGAGCCGTGAGGCGTGAGCCAAGGGCAGCAGTGAAAAATTGAAGGCAGCCAGGCATACATCGATCGAAGTGGACGGCTGTGAGGACACACTCCACAGCAAGCAGGAAACAGAATCTGAATCCCCCACCAGGAAACAGCAGAAGACCAGCCAGAAGAAAGCTAAGTGTAAATAATTAATTAAAACAATTATTATTTGTAGCTGGTTTTTGTAGTGCCATTCTGCATTGCAGCAATGCAGAATGGGACCCTCTATAGAGGACTACAAATCTCAGCAGTACTTTATACAGAAATGCTATAGTTGTATAAAGTATTGCTGGGATGTGTAGTCCTCTATAGCCTGTGCCATTCTGCATTGCTGTAAATATTAGGGATGCACCGATATATCGGCCGCCGAAACTTATCGGCCGAAAATGGCACTTTTGGCTAAATGCCTTACGTGCCATTTTTTGGCCGATACAGCGGTGCATCCCTGCTTTCTTTCCTCCCCGCTGGGCGCTGCTCTGTGTCCCAGCGGGGAGGAGAGAAAGTGTCACTCTCCTCCGCGTGGGAGGAGAGCGCTGCGAGCAGCCAGCGTCTCTCATCCCACACCGCTCAACCTCCTATCACACTCAGTCCGGTGTTCTATCGCAGATTGTGACTGTGTTAGAATGTGTGACTGCTGACGTCATCACACTTTCTAACGTAGCCACACCCATTTTTTCCGGGATAACAATGTGTGACCGGCAAAACGTGTAGAATTCAAAGCTTTCTCCACTGTTCCTGGGCAGATCGGCATCGCAGATGGTATGTGCAGATGAACCGATCTGCCCCAGAACAGCTGATCGGTCCTGAAATCTCACTTCTATCCGACTTTGTATTGCACTCGCAAAGTCAGATAGAAGTGAGATTTCAGGACCGATCAGTTGTTCCCGGGCAGATCGGTTCTACTAAACATACCATCTGCAATGCCGATCAGCCTGGGAACAGCGGAGAAAGCTTTGAACTCCACACCTTTTGCCGGTCACACATTTTTTTCCCCCGGAAAAAAATGGGTGCTACTACGTTAGAATGTGTGACCATGTGACCGGTCACACATTCCAACGCAGTCACAATCTGTGATAGAACACTGGAAGAGCGTTGTGTGGGCGGAGACAGCCCGCGCTGTCACAGGAGGCTGAGCTCTCCTCCCTGCACCGCTCACTCAGCCTCCTGTGACAGTGTGTGTCAGAGAGGAGAGCGGGTACAAGCAGTCAGGGATCGCTGAGTGTTTGTAAATAATTGAGGACATGGTATGGTTACTATATACTCAATTATGCATGAATGGGAAGTGATCTACATCCCCTCCTGTTCATTCATAATTGTGATTATAGTAAATATACTCTGTCCTTTCTCTGTAATAAATACATTTTTTTCGATCTATTTTTTTTCAACTGAATATTTTTGTGGTTGCTTCAGGGAATGTGGATTGGGGAGTTTGTGTATTTTTTTTGGGGGGGGCCCAAAAAAATCTTGCACCAGGCCCTTTGTTCCTTAGGTCCGCCACTGGGGTCTATGTAGGATCTGTGGTGGGCTCTGTATGGTCTCAGGCTGCAAAGTCCACCATAGACCCCGCACTGCCCACCACAGATCCTGCACAGCCCTCTGGAGACCCTACACAGCCCAACATAGACCCATAGAGCCCACCATAGACCTGGCAGAACCCGCAGAGCCCACCATAGACCCGCAGAGCCCACCATATACCCTGCAGAGCCCACCACAGCTCCTGCAAAGCTCCTCTGGGACCATGCAGAGCCCACCACAGATTCTTCACAGCCCCCTGAGAACCTGCAGAGCCCACCATAGACCTCGCACTGCCCACCACAGATCCTGCACAGCCCCCCTGGAGATCCTGCAGAGCCCACCATAGACCCTGCAGAGCCCACCATAGACCCCGAAGAGCCCACCACAGATCATGCAAATCCCCTCTGAGACCCTGCAGAGCCCACTACAGATCCTGCACAGCCCCCCTGAGGCCCTGCAGAGCCCACTACAGATCCTGCACAGCCCCCCTGAGGCCCTGCAGAGCCCACTACAGATCCTGCACAGCCCCCCTGAGGCCCTGCAGAGCCCACCACCGTAATACATCATTGCACTTTATAATAAAGGTTTAGTACTACAGACCCACCGTCCATCATTTTGGAACTTTGTTGGCTCTGGCCCTCTGGCCCACTGGCTGTGGTGTAACTACAAACCACACCATCATTCCTCTGTCTTTGGAAGTCATTGCATGTGGCTGTCATTCTTGCAATGCCTCATGGGACTTGTAGTTCAATAATAGCTGGAGGGACGAAGTTTGGCTATCTCTATGGCTGTGCAAAAATCCAGCTCTGTACTCAATACAACTGCAATGGGCAATATAAATGTTAGATCAAAGCCCAATCGCTGTTTCTCTAAGTCTGGATGAAATGGGATTTTATAACTTGTGTTATATTTCTATTGCTGTCCGTGTCACCATGACGGAGATTTTACTGTCCAATGAGAACTTCATGTCCTGGTAATGAGTGTCACGTAGGACAGGAAGGGAAGAGACTTTCCTTAACGGGGACACAGAGAGTATTACAAATCTCACAGAACATTCTCCCCTTTTTGCGAATCGGATCACACATTACAAAGGGGGAATTCATAAAAACTGGAGCAGACAGAATATGGAGCAGTTGCCCATAGCAACCAATCAGCTTCTCTCTTCAGTTTGTTCAGTTAAGATTTGAATATGAAAGAGAGAAGATGATTGGTTGCTATGCACAGCTGCTCCAGATTTGACAAATTCTCCTCAAAGTGTTCTGCGATTGGAAAAGAGGAGAGGAGGGGCGAGCAAGCAACACGATGGCTCCTGTGTAGGAGACCCGAAGGTCTAGTGTTTTGAAGTAATAGATACCGGCACTCAATGTAACTTTAAATTGTAAACAAGAGAGAGTAAGAGAGCGCAGGAGGTGGCTGTGGCGTACACCTTACACCAGATATTAGATAAAGTTTTTCATCTTTAAGATCTGTAGACTTTC